GTCACACAGTTTGCCTCTACTGGAATGAAAGTTGGAAATGGAGAAGGCAGGCAATAAGGGGGGAAAATAAACTATATTTGACTAAATAAACTTGTTGTCTTTAGCAGTGAAATAACCTTGTTGTATATGCTGGCTGATTTATCCTCCAAAAGCCCAGATAATGTACATTTCTGATGTTTTTCCTTTCTTAGTGACTGAAAACATTATCCCTGTGGCTGCTGTATTTGTTACAGTGAAGCAATACATGTCCCACTGTTTCTGACTGATTACAGTATGTACATGTTCCAATCGGATGTTTACTTATTGTATATAAATTACTGTTTATACCTGACTGTCCTATTCTAAGTTGAGTAAATACATTTTTTTCTTTCCTATTCCATATTGTTTTCCTTCCTAACACAACATGTTTTTGTATGCCTTGCTGCTTGTGTTTCCTAATGTATGGCTTAATTTCAAATTTACTCAAAGGAACTTGTAGTTCTGTGGATTTCCTCTCTTTAACCTGTTTTGCCAGAGCGACAGTAGTTTCAGTCCAAACCATATATTCATTTTGACATACTTACGGATTTTTCTTCACTTACCATACTTTATATCCAAAATCTGAATAGGAGTCTCCCAGAATCCAGTGTTTCTCAGGCCTTCCCCAAAGTAATTGTTTCTGTATAAAATCCCATAAACCATAGTTAGATTTTTTTCCAACACTTTTATCACACATTGAAGTCTATTTTATATACTGTCTCTACCAACTTGCTTGTAATGTTCAATTATTTTTAAATTTTTTTATTTATTTTTATTTTTTAGTAGAATGAATTGTACGTGATAATGTATCAGACCACACATCTAATAACATAGTATGAATTCTGCTGAGGCTAAACCAACACAGAGAACTTGGCAATATAAGCCTTCAATATCAGTGCCAGCTCTAGCCATTTTGGTGCCCTAGGCAAGTTGAAGCCAGACAAATTTAACCGGACAAATCCTAATTATTAAAACCAATTTCTACCACTTCCTAGAAATAAAACTTAAAGTTGGTAATCATGCTGTAGATTATGCTTTTAGATCTGTAATTTCTTTCATTAAGTTCACACAGCTGACTAGAATGTACTCAAAATAAATATTAATTTGAGTAAACTTTCTATATTTCATTCAAACCTGCCCAGCACCTTCAATGCTCACTTGACAGAACTCTACCTGCTGAATCTGCCTCTGACTCTTAGAGCACCTACATCAACAGACATGGAGATGGATTAAATATTGGGTTATTTTTATTGCCACCTGAAGCCAGTCTGCTTTAAAAAAGACAAGAAAATATTATGAAATAACATGAATAAATTATTATTAATTGTTCTTTCCATGATCCCATTGTTCTCTGCCCATGAAGCACTTTTTTTAATGTAAAAAAAATACTGAATGTCTAAAAAAACAGCCATTTTATTCTTGCTAATAATACAAGCAGTACTTTAAATGTTTGAATTGATCAATTTCTGTAATTTACTAGCTTCAAATTAAAACAGAGAATCAATAAATATCAGTGACATTCTCATTCTTGGCACTAAAATATAGTTTAACTGATTAAAAACACCTCAATAATAGATTTAAAGTCATCACTGAACTTAAATTATAGCTAACATTAAGCGTGTCAGGTATTTGGACCTGACACATTTGGTCCGCTTTAAACGGACCAGAGTTCCTTTCCCCCGTTGGTCCGGACCGTTTGTGCAGGTGTGAATACACTCATGCAAACTCTGGTGTGGATCAAACAACCGGACCTAGACCCGCTYTTTGAGGTGGTCTCAGTCCGCTTCCGAACGAACTCCTGTGCGGTTCACTTCAGTTCGTTTCAGGTGAGAATACAGATGGGACTCGAACCAAACCAACTACATAAAACGTGCCTTTTTGGACTTCACGGGCCACCATTGCTAAGCTAAATAAACTGAAATCTTACCTGATTTGTTGTCTCCTGCTTAGCAGTTCTGCTGCTAGCATGTTGTGGGTCAGAACACGCAGAGCACCTTGTCTCCGTTGGGTTGGAGCGGCACACATTTACTGATGTCGCTCCAAAATTAGAATATCATTGCAAAACCACCATTAAATTAGCTGCCTTTGACATTTTAAATGGTATTGCAGTTGTATTATCAGCACAAATGTGAAAATCAGAACTGCAGCACGCAGGACCTCCATGTTTTTTTTTTTTCTGGGTCTGTGGCTCAGTCCTGCCTCCATCCTTTCTGTCCAGTGGGAGCAATGATCGTCACCCTCGTGGCTTCGTTTACAAGTTATTGTTCTTTTGCAAAAAAGCACAATGTGAATGCAAACCTCATCAAACGACAAAAATAAAGTCTGCTTTTGGTCCTGACCAAACAAGCAGACCAAAGGACTTTCCTGGTGTGAATACACCCTAACAGAAGTTAATCATCAGTGCTGATCTGTGATTTTTTTTTGTCTCATCAGGGAAAGTGGGAGGGACTGATCAGGGTCACTATAAATCTGGGGGGTTCCCCATGCTAACCGAGTACTCAGACTCTCAGAGTACCTTACCTTCATTAAGAGACACTTGTGTGTAAGAGTTTTGTATATAGGGCTTTGCACTCAGAGGTAGTCTAGCCATAACATACAGTATAAGGATCTTCCTAAATAATCTTAGATCTGATGTGTCTCACAAAAGTTGCATCTTTTTGTGAGGCTTTCAGTTAGTCTTGTCTGTGTTTCCTCCCCTCCTATTTTCATCTTTGTCCATACTTGAGAAAACAAAATGTTTTGCTCAGAAGTAATCTTTGTAAAGCCTAGTAGAAGAGAGAAATAGTTAACTTCATAAGAAAAACCTTTTTAAACAGCAAGACTTACTTTACGGCTTGAAAATAAACCTGAACAGAGGACTGCTTGTCACCTGTGGTCTTCTCATTTGCTGTTTGATTACCGATTCCTGAAGCCATCTCAGGGACTTTCTGCTACCTTTTTGAGAAAAAAAACTCACACAAACAAATAGTTGTTTTCAATTTCATTTCTTCATTTTCTTTTCTGTGCTCTTTGCTTTGATGTTTTTTGTATCAAAGACTCTGCCTTGACATTTCCTGCTTCTTCTTTCCTTCCTCTGTGCTGCTACAGACTGATGTTCTCTCTCATCACCTGCAGAGAAACCTTAATTACCTTGACAGCCAGGTGAGAACATCTAATGTCTTTTATTATTTTGCACAACTTAACTTCAGAGTAATTTAAAAAACATTTTAGAAATATCTAGGCAACATATAACACTGCCAATAAAACTTTTTTGAAGAAACTGTAACATCAGTGTCTTTTTCTGTACGTGTGTTCACTTTGAGTTCTCCGAATACACAAATAGATATGCATTTAAAAATTTTGATAGTTCTAATGAGAAGTCTGTACATGAAGCAGGTGTAGTGTGTCCTCAAGAATCCCATGAATGAACTTATTCGCTCTAATTTCTCTACTTGGCTGATATAAAGTTCTCACAGCAATGTTGTAATTTAAAATGTTTTACACAAAACCATGTGTGCAGTAATCAAAACTGTACTAACATGCTTTGTTCTTAATATCAGTATTGAGTTCTCCAGGCAAAAGCATCTAAGAAAGAATTAGTTGTTTTATGTAAAATGAGCATGGACAATTGGGCATAGGTGGACAGAAGAAACAATGGGCCTCATGCAAAAACCGTTCGTACGCACAGATTTGTTCTTAAGTTGTGCGTACGAGTGATTTAGGAGAATTTGTGGCATTCACCAATGTTTTCGTATTCTACGATTTTTTTCAGATACGAACAAAATTTACGAGTGGTCCAGACCTGTCGTATATTTTACGTGAAGTCAGTCTGCTGTTATCCAGACGGGTTTTCTTCACTAACAACTTTATATTTCGTTAGTTTGAAGATATTTTGAGTTGAAAATAAATTACACTCCATAATTATGTTGACAATAGGCTATTTTGCTTGAATTAGAGTTATAATTTTAAATGTAATAATTTAGACTTAAAATATAAATTGTCCGTTCGTCCGTTTTCCGCCGCCTATCCGGGATCGGGTGCGGGGGCAGCAGTAGAGAGACCCCCTTCTCCCCAGCTACACCTTCCAGCTCGTCCTGGGGGACTCAAGACGTTCCCAGGCCAGAGGGGATACATGATCAAGTCCAGGATTTTCTCCAAAGTGCCAGACTTATTTTAAAAACATTTTAAAATGCTTATTTCAGACCCGCATCTGAGACCACCTGCGCCGCGCAGCGCGCTGGGTTGGGGGGTGGGGGTTACGGTGCGCAGCGCTGCGCTGTGGCTTCTGAATGAATGAAAATGATTTAACACAGTTGTTTATACTTTTAGCAGCTCTTTTTATCCCACAGCTGAGCTGCTAAAAATGAGATTTTCTTTTCTGGATCTCTGACAGACGGACTTCAATCTCTGAACGCGTAAAGTTTTTATTTTTTCAGTTTTCGCTGTCATTTTCATGAATGAATGAACACTTCCTTGTATCTGAGGCATAGCCTTATATGGTGTATTTGGGGTGGTAATTATGCTAATCTCCTCTCGCGTGCACGAGCAGCTGGATAGAAAAGGTGTAAATTACGCAGCTCATTTACGCACATTTCCTGAAGATAGAAGTGTTTGTTGAATCTGACGTGACATGTTCGTACAAACCCATTGTACGAACAAAAGTAAGAGAAATTTAGGATAAAAATAYGAACATGTTCTTGCATGAGGCCCATTGTTTCAACAGTTTAGCTATTCTTATGAAAACAAAAAACAGTTAGGTTTTCATTGTGTTTAAGGAATCGCTTGGTAATTTTAAAGTGGGTTTTAGTTCAAAAGGACTAAATAATATGTTGTAGATAGATTCTAGAACTTTCTCAGTTTGGTTTACGTTCAACAGGATGGGCGAGCCAACGGATAGTTTTAATGCAGCTAAAACCTAAGTAGATTGCTGTCATCTGAAAATGATTCCAATCTCCAGAATTTCATAGTGGTTTGAGCAAGCAATATTTTGAGAGTCTTTTACAATGCTGTCAGTTTCACATTACATGACATGGGTCTTTTTATAGAACTCTGTTGTGCAAATAGTACCAGCAATAGCATGTAGCACTTTGGAGCCATCCAGGGATCAAATTGAGCAGGAATGTCATACTGAAATTTTTGATACTTATGATACTTTACTTATGATACTTTAATGATAACCCCTCAAGGGAAATTACAGTTCAGAAAAACCCATATAGACAAAACACAACTTGGAGAATGGGTGCCCCAGGTCCATCAGCCATAAAGAGGTGCTACCCTTAAAAGAAAACAGAAATGCCATCATGAGGATAAGTGAGGAAAAAAGAACATCATACTATGTCCACCCAGGACACAATACGAGGTACAAATAAAAAACCCTGCATAGATCAAAGATCATAGCCAGCGAAGGCAATGAGTTTTTGGGTGGGGGGTGTATCTGAAGCCGTGAAAGTGTTGTATGCACATGTGTGAACATCTGTAGATAAAACTGTGAAACCAGTCACACGAAGCACCCCCACCCTACAGTCAGAGCTCAGCATAATGATTTTTATTGTCCATTCTGCTCGACCTTCGGTTGCTTCCAGACACCAGTTCACAGGCATGAGTGGGAGGAGGGAAATGGGGGCAGAGTGTCAATTGACCTAACTTCCAGGTGAGTTAGAGATATCCTGCCTTGAAGGCCACATAGGGGTGCCAAATCAGACATTCACAACTGGTTTTGGAACAGTTTGACTTCTGTAGATTTGCCTGTCGCCTTAATGCCTCACTAGAACTCTCATGGCGAAATTCCAATTAGCCGAATGGTCATTCTTCGCCTTTCACAGAGCACAGCTTTCTCCAAGCTCTATACATTCCTGCCAGCCGGCTCAGGAGCTACAGCTGGCCTGCGATCCTCAACAAGGACAACATTCAGCTTTCGGCTCTGCTCCAGCAGAGCTTGAGTCTGAGTGTTGACAGCCTGGCAAATCTCATCACACAAGCCAGGTAACCTCTTCAAGCCCGAATGGCTCCCAACACTTGCTGAATTTCAAGATAGACCAATTATCCACCACTTCCAATCAGCAGAAATCCTGCTATCAATAAACCAATAATGTAAATATTTTCAACGTCCTCATTCGACAGCGTAGAAAGGCACATTATCTTCCAATCACCCCAGGAATCCATAACGTGCCCTGCGGCATATGTCCCATCAGTACAAGAGGGTTCTTCTTTGCCCAATTTCCATGTAGAAAAGTTTGATCAATAGTGTTGAGAGACCAGCTGACCAGATCCATAATTTCCAGTTTGGGTGATTTGTAAGAAGAGGCTCCAAGATGCAGCAAATCAGGATAGATAAAGGAAGACTGAAGAGAGAGGGGAAAAATGTCTGCCTTTGCCAAGAGAAGAAGCAAATAATAATAATAATAATAATAAGACTTTATATCGCAAAACTGACTGGCTTCACATTTAGGAAAGGAAGATATTTTTTCTTTACAGCAAAACATCTTGTACACTGAGCTCAGTGTTCTAACATCCACAAACAGCAGTTTGCACGACTAGAGTTTCTAGCTTTCACAACTAGGAAACCTAAGAAGTGAATTTATTGAATATACATTTTACTTTTTGAGGAGGGCATAAATCTGACTGTCATCTGTGTAACAATGATATGAAATGTCATGCTTTCTGAGTAGTGAACCAAATGGGAGCAGAGAGAGAGAGAAAACAAAAGTGGTCCTAAAATTGACCCTTAAGGGACTAACACAGAACACTTGGTTTGTCAAGAAGGACCTGAACAATTTCAAGGCAACCCCCCCCCCCCCCAATATTTTTATTATTATTAATAATAATAATAATGACAACAACGATGATGACGTTGCCTGGCCAAAAATAGGAAAACTGGAGCAACCACCTGCCACCAGCTTACTGCTGTTGTTTTTGCTCATTTATCTGACTCTTCTTTCCTGTGTTCACCCACTCCTTTTTTGTTGCCTTGCAAATATGTTTGCAGTTAGGTCGGTAATCAGTTCACACTAACCAAACGCAGTCCATCTCCATTTTCTACAGTTTATTTGGAGTCAAATCACAGAGGCAATAGGCTCAGGAGGTAAACTTAGACATTCTTCTCCTCAGCAACACTCTCCAGCTCCTCCTGGGGTGTCAACACCCCAGGAGGAGCTGGAGAGTGTTGTTTCTCTAGCATTCCCATGCTAGAGAAGATGCATAGTCCCTCAACTGAGTTCTTGGTTTGCCTTCAGTCCTTTTCCCAGCAGGATGTGCCTGGAAAACCTCTAAAGGGATGTAACCATCAGGTGCCATAATCAGATGCCTGAACCACAATAACCACAAATTGTTTGACAAGTCAGAAAAGAAAAGTGGGTACTATCCCAGGCTGTTTTGTGTAGGTGGATGACTACTGACCAAGACTGGGAATATTACCAAGGAGTGGAACTTTGAGAGCCCAAGGCAGAGTCAGAACATAGTGGCAGTATATCATCCTTGACCTGGGAAAACCATGGAATTTGCAAAAAAAATAGCAAAAGAATGTCACTGGTTGATGTCTGGATTTCCCTCCTGAAACTGCTGCCTCCATGGCATGATTACTGACAAGTGGAAGAAAATGAGTAGATGGATGGATGGATGCTACCACTGTGCACTGCATAGCAGAGTTTGTGTACTATTTTAAAATGTATCCACTTTACAGGGTACCCAAGTCAGATCAGTAGGGTTAGCATACCTTGATTGAATTCTTGCTGGCAGTTATTTTCTGATTTATTTTATTTTTATATTTACTTGCCAGCAAACCTTCCCTTCACTACTCATCAGTTTTATCTGGTTAATGTACTAATAGACCTTTAAAGGGGACATATCATGCATAATCCATTTTTTAGCTGCTAAATACATTTTGTCGTGTCGTGTACTTGGAGTCTCTAGAGGTGCAGAAAAGTTGAATTTAGTCTCTCCTAGTGATGGAAAGATATTTTTATATTCTGTTGGATTCATGTGTTCCTGCCTGTTGTGTATTCTCTTTCCTGTGATGTTTTCTGAACTGTTACGTCAAATTATCTGTGACGGAACTGCCAAATAAGGTCCACACTTAACAACTACAATTTCCTCGTTTTAATACTTCTCTCATTCTGGGTCAGACTCTGGCTCCAACATGTAAGGCTGGATGGCCAAGTCTTCTGTTGTTGGCTTCTTTTAATAAAATTGTCAACCCCCTCTCTCAAACTGGAGTGTACCAGTCTGGAAGATGGGTGGCTTGAAAGGCACAGTATTAAAACCAGCTGCTTATAAAGGTGGTAAAGTTAGAATAAGGAGGAATTCAGACTAAATTATTGCTCTTCCACTTYATAAAGACCACAACTGAATGATTTAAATGTGGACAGGAAGGTTTTAAAAGCACGATATGTCTACTTTATGGAATGAATGGACTTGCAATGTAATCAAATATGTATATGAACAGATGAAATCTGTGTAATTATATAAAAATGTGTCTTGTACAACATTAAATTGAGTCAAAGATGCAATTGACAAAGTCTAAACGTTACAACTTGCAACCTTTTTATGACTGAAAAATAAATTAAATTTGGAGTGGTCACCCTGTCATGACACCCGGCCCCCACAAGGGAAGCATACCTTACACTACATGCGGTCCCGCTCTGCTCTGCTTCGCTACGGTGCGCAGTTCACTGCCATTTGTTTGCACCCTAATTTATACAGCGTCAGGTCTGCTCCGGTGCAAAGAACAGAGAAGGTTCGTTTGCAGGAACTGTGAGCTTCTACTAGCCATACATGTGGAAGTCAGAGCAAAATAATTAATTCTGTGGAAGATGGACTCCAAACACAGTTAAAATTGTATCCCTGTCGTCTTTTTAAAACATCTGATTTCAGAATAAAATCCATGTGTATTATGTGTGTGTGCATATTCTGCATGCTACATGCTGCCATCTGCTTCCCAAACAGAATGATACATTTTGACAGCATTTATGTGTAAATATACTCATATATAGCTAGGATTTAGACAAAATTAGTCTGTCTTTGATGAATTATTTTGAAAATATGGATGTTGTGTGTTGTGGAAATATTTAACAAAGAACAGAAATACATGATCCAAAGAATAAAGGCACTTTGTCGAATGCCCATCTGAGTTTTTTTATTACAACAATAGGAAAACAGAGATCAACATAGAGCCATAAGACTGTCCCCMTGCTCTTTGCTTTCTGTTCCTGCTCCTACTCTCACTTCTTTGAGGCAGTTAAGGCCTCGTGTATATATACAGTATATTGTTTAACAAACACCATTATGTCATCTTAATAAAGCAAGATTTCATCCTAAGGAATTTCTGGGTCAAGGAAAAACATAGCCATTATGGGATACATGTGTACTTGTGATATCTAAGAATGACTGCTGTTAGAAAATTTTGTTCTGGCTATAATCATTCTATCTACCAATAAACAGGGTGTCGTGAATTACTGGCATAAAGCAAAAAGTATTATTTCTATTACGTTGTGCTTGTTGTTCATTTTTCTGTTGGTTCGTTGTGATCTTTGTAGAGCATCTCCGGCATAAAAAATAGCATCAAATCTAGTTTTGGCGGACTGCCATCCACTCACTGCCACCCTGCGCCGCCATGTGGAGCCAGTGTAAATACTCCAAGTGATTAAAATGTTTGCACATTTACTGCGGAGGTCGAAACAGAGCGGAGCTGAACCACACACAGTGTAAATTAGGGGCCACAGTATTTTTTTTTCAGGCCTGGTTTACACTTTTCCTTTCAAGAAATTTAATCTTACACTGCTTAAATGCCCCAGTATTCATAGTTTGAGACACAAAACCCTACTTTAAAACAAATAAAATTGGACAAAGTCAATAGTTTACTATAACACCAGAAGGTTTACCTGCTCRGGTTATTAATGTTTAGCTTTTCAGCGTGGAAACATTTGCAAGTTTTAGAATGTGTAGATAAAGCTATTGTAATGGATGAGGTCTCTTCTGTTCAAAGAGAAGGATAGTTTCATGTCTTCCATTTCTGGCTATCTGTGAATATTATCTGATCTCTGCAGTGACTCTTACACCTGCGTTATTACACCACTGTGTCCTCTTTTTGTATCCTTTGGATTCAGACAAAGGGAAATGAGCCTCTTATCTTCATGATTCACACTTTGATCGAGAACTTGGCACCAAGGCCACAACTCTACCAGCAAGTAAGGTTTTTGACAGCTTCTGGCTTGAGTCAATGTGACGGTTGTCCTACAATCCATTGAAACAATTGTTGCTTGTTCTCAACCTTGTCACAGAGTTTAAGTTCCATTTTTAAGGTTTTCATTACTGAGCAGCATGGCAGTTCATTTAAATCATTAAAGACAAATCTGATTGATCCTGTTTCAACAGAAAATATCTTAACAAACCAATCATTTCCCAAATTGAACACCCATCTCTTAGAAGAACTGACTCATGTTGAGAATTTTCTATAAACAGGGGTGCACATAAAAAAATTGGTCTGGTTCTCAGGGGAAAACCTAGGGTTGTTGCCTGGTGCTGATATTTTCCATAACTCATTAAACACGTTTGTCTAGAGGGGCATCAGGGCAATGGACAGAATTTCTAGACACAGCCAAGGTGTTGAGGGGATCTTTTTTGGTGACCTTAGGAACAAATCTCTGCTTTTTGCAGATGATGTGGTCCTATTGCTTCATCCGATTGTGAACTCCAGCCCTCACTGGAGTGGTTCACAGCCGAGTGTGRAGCGGCCGGGATGAGGATCAGTGTCTCCAAATATGAGACCATGGTCTTGAGCCGGAAAAGGGTAGGGTGCCTTCACCGGGTCGAGGAGGAGGTTCTACGCCTCCCAGGTGAGGTGTTCCAGGGAATGTTCCACTGGGAGGAGACCCAGAGGAAGACCCAGGACACACTGGAGGGACTATGTTTCTCGGCTGGCCTGGGAACACCATGGGATTCCCCTGGATGAGCTGGCCCAAGTGGCTGGGGAGAGGGAAGTCTGGGTCTCTCTGCTTAGGCTGCTGCCACCGCGACCCAATCCCAGATAAGCGGAAGAAAACGGACAGACGGACGGACGGCATCAGGGCATCATGCCTTCTATCAGCTGGCAAAGTCTCAGGACATCATGCCAATAGTCAGTCCACTGGGAGTTTATTTTATTTTTTACTCTGCATAAATTTTGTAAACTAAGTGGCTGAGGGGCTGGCCCATGGGCGTGTGATATAAATATCTCCAACTGAACATTTYATGGTTAAATGTCTGTTAAATGTCTTACACTACAGTTTGGCCCTCTGAATCTTTGACCTTAGTTAAACCAGCTTTCCACACTCTTCAGTCCAAGCAGCAAATATCTATCTTTTGCACAGCACAAAATAACATAACTACAAATATTTTGTTTGTTAGACTGACCGACTTCTTTTTTAAAAGACTGCTTCATTCAAAAAGATTATATTATTTTGATGTTTTAGCTCATGCAGTCATTTAAAATGATTTATTCTTCATCATTTATTAAATTATATTTATCCCAGAGCAATTGTATCACAGTATGGTTCTAAATATAAACATGCTTAGCACAACCAAAACATTGTTTCTATAAAATTGTGAATAAAATTTGTGGATCTTTATGATAAATTAAAATAACATTTAAAACCTAGAGAATATGGTGAGGGGTTTTTTTTGTGACTGGGGGTGATGTTAAACAGAGACTCATCTTTAAATACGATGCAAACAAATGTTTTTCTGTTAGAGTTAATATTGTTTATTTAGAAGAAGTCAAATTGTGAATTTCACAAAAAGACACTCAGCCTGCGCGCCGCGGCAGYGCTCTGTCATGTGGAGAGAGGAGTTTAGTCACTTACACAAATTTGAACAGATAACAATGCTCTGAACAAATATTTAATATAAAGTTAGGTTTTAGAGACCAAAGTCTCTGGTAACTCAGGAGAAAATTGCAGGAGATGTCTGCTCACTCAGAACTGACCGCTGCAGCTGAAGCCCTGCAGTTCGTCTCTGCTGAAAACTGCTCTCAGCTAAAGTCCCGCCCTGTTCTGCTCCGATTGGATAAAACAGCTCTGGGGTTCATCTGATTTGTTGAAAGCAGTGTCTGCTTAATTCTGATGCTACGTTCACATTGAATGCGTTTTGAGCTGCAAGTGCGGCCGGTTTACATGCAAAGTCTATGGTAAACGTGCATCTTGACCGTTTAGCGTGGCGTGCAAGAAAGCGGTAGGTGTGGTTAAGCGTTTTTCGTGCATGCGGCGCGTCCAAAGCAGCCAATGCTTGAGTTCAAAAATCTGAACTTTTGCTGCTTGACGCACCATGTCAACCAATCAGAGAGACAAATTTTTCCACGTGACAGTTTCCTGAATGTTGCCCACTAACCTGAAACAGACGGACAGGAGCTCTGTAGCTGAAATCGACCGTCTGCAGTTGGTGTTCTGGCAGGAGATATCGGCACCTATGCGTGTCAGCAGCCTGTTAAACTGACCATGGTGTTAAACTGGGCTCGGGACAAAAAAAAATAGTTTGTCAGCTCTCAACTCCAGGAGTGGAAACTTAACTGAACAAACCACCTCTAAATTATCTGGTGAATTAATTATCTGCTGTGTGCAATGTTCGCTTCCTCTTAGTAAATAAAGCAAAGCCATTTTCTTTATTTTATCTTTATTTCATCCGCCATTAAAGACAGACCGGGAAAAAAACCCAAGGTACTCCTGCCTCTTCAGACGAGTCTAGTCTCTGTCCCGGTCTGAATGCAGCGCATCCAACTTGAGGTGTTGGGTGTGTTTTAGATGCTCAAAAAGCATTTGGTGTGAATGTAGCATGATACTGCAGGGTCCCGCCGCCCTCCTCAAACGATGATCCAGTCCCCCAGTTGCACCAGTGCAAGGTTTTTATTAACATATCAGGTCGCATTTGCGACCAAATTGGTCACACTCTAATGCCTTGCTAGCTGCTGTTTTCACAATCTTAGGTATGCAAGTGAGCTTTATGACACTCCGTCTGGTGCTCTTTTTTTTTATTTGATTGCGCATGCGCGCATGCGTACCTGCGCGCTACTTATGTGCACCTCTGTTGATAAATGTGAAGTTGCCTTGAACTTGTAATTGTTTTCTTTTAACAGAGCTCTGTATTTTCAATTTGAGCTAAAGTGAAGCAGAATCAAGCCAGAACATTTTCCTGGAAACCCTTCCAACACGTGTTCACAGTTTCCCCTCCATCTTCAAGCTATTGTTTCACATTTAATAAAGTCAACCCGTCAGACTTTCTTTTTTCCATTAAGGTCATTCCCACATGCCATCCCAGCAACAGTTGRAGATAATATAAAGCTTTGTGTTTCAGTTCAAGCCATTTTATATATTTTAATAATTTGAAGTAATATGAAGATACCCTGGATTATAATGTGTTGTCATAAATTGTTCTGCTATCTGCTTGGATATACCACTGCTCATTGCTTGGTTTACCCTTTAAAATGCTTAACTTTGCTCAAGTTTTACATTGTCCCTGACAAGAACATGAAATATTTTAACTAATTTTTAGGAGAAGGAAAATTGGGCATCATAGCAGCTTAATGGTTAGTATTCGTTACTTGTTTGTAACCATTAAGTGACTAGTTGACAAACGCCGATTGTAAGAGAGTCTTGGTTGAATTGTGAAAATTGTGCACAGTTGCAGAGCTGTCGTGAACTTCTCAACCGCATCTCAATTGTGTTGTGGGCATGTGCCACCTATCTCAAGAGCAGTAATGTTGTACACTTGCCTAACATTTTCCTCTGAAAAAAAAGAGGCTACAGTTCTGAATGTTCAGGTCTAAACCACACTGATAATAAAGAATAATTTAAAAAACTGGTCCAAATTTGTCCTAGTGACCTTGAAAGAAGAAGTAGAAATAATGGCTGTATAGACAAATGGAGCATCCAAATATGCCATTATTTCTAAAGTGTACTCCAAAGGATTAAATTATAAATGTGACAGCTGAGGTGGGTACAAAATAAAGCAAGGTGGTTACATATAGAGATCAATTAGCCTCAATGAGATTCAAGTGTGCTCTAAGATTCCAGCTAGCACATCATTATTTGAGTGAGCGCATCAAGATTTGAGCAAGCAACAAGATTCCAGCTTGCAAGAAGATTTGAGTGAGCATATCAAGTTTTGAGCGAGGGCATTATGATTCAAGAAAGCACAATATTTGAGTGAGCACATCAAGATTCAAGCGAACAACAAGATTTGAGCGAGCAATAAATTTTAAGTGAGTGGCTCAAGTTTCAAACAAGTGCATCGAGATTAGAGGGAGCACATCATTTGAGCAAGCAACAAGATTTGTTGCACTTGCTCAAATTATGACATGCTCGCTCAAGATTGGAATGAACACTAGAGTGCATGAAATTTTGAGTGAGCAACAATACAAGTGAGCAGAACTTGATTCAAGTGATTTTATATATATATATAT